CCTATGACAATAAATCAAATCCACATAATCCATATCCAGTCTTTTCAAACTAGCTTTCGTCCCTTCAATTATATGTTTCCTCGATAAACCCTTATCATTTGGACCCGACCCGCCCCAGAAAATCTTAGTAGATATAACAATATCTGATCTTTTCCAACCCAATTCACGAATTGCTTGACCCATTATTTCTTCTGCTCTTCCATTAGCGTAAACCTCGGCGTTGTCGAAGAAATTGACACCGTGGTCACGACATTTTTGTAAGAGGGATTTAGCTTCTTTGACATCGAGTTGATTGCCGAAAGTGACCCATGCTCCGTATGAAAGTTGGGATACTTTTAGGCCTGATCTGCCTAAATTCTTGTACTGCATTTGCATTTTTTCGTATTTTGGGGGGCAGATCAAGAAGAAAAAAGAGGGAATGAAGATTTGCTGTTTTAAGAGGAAGAAACAGAAGGAGAAAGGAGTAAAGTGGGGAATATGAGAATTTGGGATGGAGTTGAAGTGGTGAAATTTCTTGTAGTAGCTTAGCTGTTTCCACTTGGCAGAAATTATAAGGATTGTTTGAGTGTGATGGGATCTACTGCGCTAAGCAGTGACCTTCCCTGTGATCTGATGCACTTTTCATAATTACTCACCGTCACTTGTTATTTTATCAAACACATTTTTTTGAGTGATATAAACAATGACAACAATATACCCAATGAGTTTCACGAGGAAATGTGTAAACCGACTTTACACATGGTAGAAAAATTGTTTATGATAGATCCTCGATTTAAAAAAAATAAATAAAATAAGGCAGAAGTCACAAAAAAAAAGTTAATAATAATAACAGACAGAAAAAATAAGATAACAACAAAAATAATAAAAACTCAGTGTAATTCCATAAATGAGATTTGGAGAGGGTAGTGTGCACATAAGCCTTACCATAACCTTATAATGGAGTCCGAAACCTAAATGCCAACTTTTTGGACTCAAAATACGTTTCTATTGCCTAAAAAAAGATATTTTTCTATATATAGCGCGGTGTAATACCGCGCTATACCTGTTCGTGGGCCCACCAATTAGTCTCATGCATTTAACTGACATAACTGTAATTCAAATATATATATATATATATATATATA